CATTTAATCTTATTTTCAATTTTCATTTTGCCATTTTCAAGGGTGTTTTGGCGCCTTTTTGGTGTATGCTAATGCAAATTTCCATATTCATAAGCAAAAATGTGATGTCATATAAGGCAGAAACCTCAATGTTGCAATTAGTTTATGCGCACAAAGTTGCCAAAATTTTGGATACAGGGTGAGTCAAAAAAAGCGGAACCCAAACCCCCAAAATTATATTTCAGATACAAAAAAAATATGTAGCACCAAAAATAATAATGACTGGAAGGCTAATTTCATTAGGTACTTTTAGAAGAAAAAAATGACTGAAATTTGTCAATCCTTCAGAAAATATCACCATTTAAACAGAATGACCCTAAAACCTGACTCGTCCAAAAAATGCGATTTCAAGAATCGTCGTCGCAATCGTCTTCAAACATCACCAGCGATACAATCTCTGTTTCAACGTTAAAAATGTTCAACAGAATCCCTTTGAAGGTTTGTCCTTTATAGATTTTATAAACATATTGTTTGCCTAACCAGGGTTGTTAAAGAGGATATTGTGTACTACAGTTCGTGACAGTTGTTGCAACAAGTATTCTGTGTCATTTTCTGTGTTGTTCCAAACAGTAAAAACACACAATGAATTGCTATTTTTGGACGAGACAGGTTTTAGGGTCATGGTGTTTAAATGGTGATATTCTTTGAACGGATTGAGCAATTTCAGTCATTTTTTTCATCTAAAGTAGCTTATGAAATTGGCTTTCCAGTCGTTATTATTTTTGGTGCTACGTATTTTTTAAAATATGGAATATATTTTATTGGATTTGGGTTGCGCTTTTTTAGACTCACCCTGTATTTCGCCGTCGTAAACTTTCTTTTCTTTAGTGATTCGTTGTTGTGTTAGTTCATGGCAGTAAGCAAATGAGCAAACTTTTATCACAACTGTTTTCAAAGAGCAATTTGTTGGGTTCACTATTTCAAAAAAAAAACACCTAATGAACAGATTCTCGCTGAAACGACATCACGACAACAGCGCCCTCAGTTGTCCGGAAAAGTATGGAAAATTGTAAATTTTCTTTGTTGGCACCTGGTGACCAGTTTTAAAGTCACAATCATTAGAGTTTATGGGGACCAATGGTTAATAACCAAGAAAAATCTTTCTCTTTCTGAAAACATTCTCTTTCTGATGTGCACGTCTGTACTCTTTCTGCACGGTCTTAATTTTTTCCCGGTTAAAGGGAATGTGCATTATTGGCTTTTGCTGTAATTTTCAGAAAAATGAACTATTTGAGGGGTTAGTATAATAGATCAAATATTGTTGCACTGACATGGTCGAAGTTTAGTGTTCGTAAATGCTGGAAAAAGCAAGAAATACAAAAAAAGTTGAAATAGCTTGGTTCCCTGATTCCACTAAAGATGAACTGGATCATTTTATAGATACCGGGAAATTGTAAGGTAAGGGAACCAGTCTAGCTGGCCTGCACCCGTTCATGAACATGTAACCAAAAGGAAACAAAATTTGGACTAAAAAGAATGGTACATTTGGAGCAGTAGTTAAAAAATAGTTAGGTTTTTCCAACGGTGTCGGCCGACCATCACTGGAAATTTATACAAAAACACCACGTTTTCTTGAAAATGACTTCACACCAGGTGTCATAATTTTACAGGATGCTTTAGACTGTCAATTACCAACATCCTAGTAAGGTACTCGTAAATATTTGGTAGTTTTGTTTCAGTTCGATGTTTGCAAATGTTGTATATTCCCTTTAAACGTAGCAGAGGAATGAAGCAGCGAGTTGTTGTTTGGTGCTCACACGAGATGATCAAGGCTCTGCATTAATGCATAGTGCTCAGTTTCATTCCAAAGACATGGCAGCGACCGGCCTTCATGGATTAAGAAATACTCTAACATGTGAAGACAGTAACCAGTATTTTGTCATTCAGCGGTCTTTAAGAAGTAGAAACACTGAAGTGGACTTGGGTGTTACTTGGTGGTGTCGGGGGCATTTTGTTTAAACTTCAAGGAAAATGTTTTGTGAAAGAAAACACCATGTCTTTAAAACAACAGGAAAGCAATTATATTTCTCTTTTGATTTTTATTTTAATGACTTTGCGGAAGATCATCGTGCATTCGTATAGCTCGACTGGTGCATTGGGGTTTTTGTGTAGGCCTAGTATTTATTTGGATATTTTTAACGCTTTTTCCATTAACTTGTTTAATGTAAAAGGTCAATTAAATTTCCCGTCAGAGATAATAAAGTCAAATTGAATTCAATTGAATTGTCATTGGCCTGGTGGATAGCGAGAGGAGCTATAGGATACAAAGATCCCGTGTTCGAATACACGTCGTCGCTGCTCATTTTCATCGACTATTTTTCTTCTCTGAACTCATCGTTGAGAAAATGTAATTTTAAGGGAATAAAGAGAACGAGAACGTAAGCGTCTTGCAATCATTGGGGTCCGCTCATAAGTCCGACGCCTCATAGGTCCAACGCCTCATAAGGGCGTCGGACATAATGAGGCGTTGGACCATGAGGCATAAATTCCGCCTCTTATGTTCGACGCCGCATAAGTCCGACGCCTCATAGTTCCGCATTGCTTGGCTACGGTTTGCAATGCACCAATTTCACCTGTGCCTACGGAAGCGGCTAAAGCCTCTTCCCATAGAAACTTGTGTATCTGCTAGCAACAGCCAAATAATTCGACATCTAGTTTTGCCTGGAGACTCGATCGATCCTTGGCAATGACTGTTGGAAAGAGAACTGAGAAGGGATCAGCAACCGATCTGTAGTCCGGTCAATTTGACGTTTTTATTACAAAATAGAAACCATTCAAGCTTCAATCATCTTCAAATAAATGTACAAACAACATCAAAATTTGAGTTTTTTACCTGAACTATGGAAGGCGCCCTTTCTTCATTAGTCTGGTGACTTTCCTCGATGTACGTACATTGTAACAGCTAATGATCAGGATTTATGACCACATGCGACTGCAGCAGACGACGCACCGACGGTAACTTGGAAAAGTATCATTTCACGTGATACTGAGTTTATTTTTGCTGTCTAAACGTATTAAGAGTTAATTATATATTGAAAGCCGTATTGTGTGTGATTTGATTAATATTTAGGCCTTTGAATGGAATATTATCTTTCTTAATCAGAAATTCACACCGTTGCAAGGCCGGGCAGCTAGTAAAATGCATGTAAAGGCGCACGTAGCTATAGATGAATACACGAACTGCTTGCTTGTTAACAGACAATTTAACTGAGGTATGCCATTGATATAAAGTAGGGCAAGCGGCCGGGAAGCACGGGAAGATTCACTTATTAGTGTCAGGGCAGGCCAAAGTGTCCGTACTGAATTTCACTGCAAGAACTGCAATCCGATTTGTGTAAAGAAAGCTTTAATAAATGATGAGAGGGGATCAAGTGACTGCCGCGTGTTAAGTCTGCAGCGCTGATGTCAGTTCAATCCAGCACCTGGCCAGGGAGCTGCTTGGAGTAATCCGATGTGGCTGCATGATGGGATGCAACACACAGTGACAAAACAAGGCTTGGAGTGTTCCTCAGAATGTGCAGGCTTCGAATCAGAGGTAGCTGTTCCAATGTGACATTGCCTGATGAGGATGGACTGGAAGGATCAACTGACATTTGAACAAAATCGCGCAGAGCAACACGTCGCCAACACCTTAATTGAAGTTTACATATGTACACCCTATAATTTTAAATTATATGTAGAAAACTGAAATGATAGGCATCAACACTATGATTTTTTTTCTAAGGAGCAAACTTTTTAGGGTTTGTCCCCCCCCCCCCCCAAAAAAGAGACCAAACTTGGGAAGCAACGCAAGTTAAGAAGCAACGCTTTACATTTCATTCCTCTAAAAGATTTTTTCCTGAGGGGTAAACTTTGAAGTTTGCTCTCTTTTTTTCTTCTCTTTTTTTCGTTGTATAAACAACATTGCATACAAGTTAAACAGGTTGCAACAGTTAACATTTTATATCTCTAAAAGGTTTTTTCCCCTTTGGGCCAAGTTTTAATTTTCATTTCGTTTAAAGTTCTCCCCTGAGGAGAAAACTTTGCAGAGTTGTTCTTTTTCTCTTTTTGTTTTGCTGTACAAAACTGGGGAACAAGATAATAAATTGTAACATTTTTATTTGTATTGATTAATGTGAACGTTTGTAGAGCAAACTTTGAGAATTTTTTGGCAATAGAAACCATTCATTTTTGGGACCCACTTTTTGGGGCTATATAATTCTGTAGCCTCCCAAAAAAAATTTGTTCTGGATCCGCCCTTAAGTGTTTGAGGTTATAACAATTTCTAACAATTTTAGGTTGTGCCGATGACCTTAACTTCTCTACGAATTCTAGATTTCAGATTACCCACCCCCCAACAAACAAACTTTTTTTTAAAATAGATAGATTAATAACTAGAAGAAATAAGTAAGATTGATCCATGATCTCTATTTATTATAGGCCTATAGAGATCAATGACTGCACCCCATGTCAAAGTTATCAATGATTTACTGAGCCGCTATACTGGCGAAATTTAGTCAATTGGTGGCTAACAATTACGGAAGTAAAACAAAATCCAAATTCTTATTTAAAAATATAATAATTCCCTATGGTTTGCACGGCAACACTCCGCCGGCAAGGTAAAATCCCAGAGATTTCAGAAATATCGACATGAAAAAGCCGTCTGTTATGAATTAGTCGTGTTTCCCGACGTTTCCTGCGTGTTGTGAAAGGACGTCCTGACGGGCAACAGACGCGACAGCGTAAAACATGGCACCGTCCAAACGACAGTTTACGCGTTGAGGAGTTGCAAAAAATCAGTCAAGACAAGGCGAGTAAAAACACCTTTCCACTCCCTAGATTAAGTTAGATTTTCAGTATGTTAATCAGTGATTTTTTCTTCGTGTGTGTTAAAATAGATTCTATTGCAATTTGTTCTGGGTCAAGGCCTGTTTTGTCATAATTGACCGGACTGCTATTTATAGCGGGCTGATGAACTGCACACGTACACGTAGGCTAATCGACACAGGTTGAAGTTCACAGCGTAGTATTGTATACTACATGTACGTACTTGCTAGCGCTTTACAGCCAATATGACTTTGCCTTGTCGTGTTCATACATGTTTACCGGTGGCTGGCCGGGTTGGTACGAGTTTATGTGATATTAGTTGTGATATGAGTTGTTGCCCAATCACATTGTGAACACAGTGAAATTCGTCGTCGCGTCGTTACGTTCCGTTCGTCGGCATAAACACTGACATTTCTGAAATCAATTCGAAATGGCAGAGTCCGAACTTCCATTCGCTGCTAAGTATGCCAAGCATAACAGTTATACATGCAGAGCTCACGACTGCTGGGGTGGAACTGTGTACAAAGATGATCTCTGTATGTCTGTAACGGCGCAGGTGAGGGGAAACGATTTTCTTAAATTAACTAATTTTCTATCATAAGATGGAATTTTGCGTCGGGGTGATATTAATCAAATTAGGTTTTGCCCTTCATCGACGTTTAAATACTGTATACTCATTGTGTTACCTCCTGAGTGAAAGTTGGAAAAAGTCACTCGGGTGGGACTCGAACCCACAACCTCCTACATCATTCAGAATCGAACCAGCCAACCGATCCCGTTAGCTCGGTGGTCGAGTGGTAAGACATCTGCACTAGAAAGCAGGAGGTCGTGGGTTCGAGTCCCACCCGAGTGATTTTTTTCTCCAACTTTCACTCGGGAGGTAACACACCGAGTGTACAGTGTTTATACGTTGGTGAAGGGCAAAACCTAATTTGATAATTAATGTTCTGTTTAGGTTTAAGGTGTCCATGCCTGAGCGTGTGCACATCGCTCTTATCTAATTAGCCATGGAGGAATTGGAAAAAATGTTGCAACCTGACGCCACTTGTTTTGTTCATATATCATCTTAGAGAAGTTCATTTATTGCAAAAATAACGATAAGACATGAATCTGTTGGGAAATACTTTTCTTGGCTTTCCATAGGCGTCAGGTTGCAACTTGTTTCCTAGGAACTTCCATGTGTATCTTTAGATCTGTATCATAGTCGGCAAAGCATGGGGAACCATCACACCAACTTGAGAGAAGACAATGAGAAGAAATTAATCCACATAATGACCCAGGCGGGAATCGAACCCGGGTCACTGATAACTTTTATAGGCCAGACTTTTTTGTGCTAAGCAATTTTTGTGTGCTTTAGCAGCGCCGTAAAATTGGGACCAGCCGCAGCAGGCACGATACGTTTCAAATAAACTATTTCGCGAAATGGCGAATTCGCGGCACATAATTCGCATTTCGCACAAGCGGTTCGCGGCGCAGTCACACGTGAATTTGACGCCGAAAGGCAGAAGCATTGAAATCAAAACATTGCCGTCATGGCCCAAAAAATCGGAAGGAATTACCATTCCGGTCAGAGCATGCCAAAAGCTAGTCTGAGTATCACCCGTTATCTACGGAGCCATCTCCTGTCTAACGTCTGATATGTCAAAGCATGCAGATTTATGCAAGCCGCGCGCCAGCCAATCGGAGTCGACTTTACTAAATCGTGACGTCTTTTCATCCCAAAATCAGGACTAACGCTGTGATTCGTCAATTTGAATGCAGCGTTTTGTAACACAACAATAGCCGGGAGCGCATTCGTGTAACATCATACCGAGCCCCGCGCGCCATGACGTTGTTTTTTTTAATCCATGTCTATGACGCGAAACGGGGGAATGGCCGAAGACCGATAGACCTATAGAAAGCGCCTGCTGATTGGTCAAAATCTAGGAAGTCAAGATGCGGGGTCTTGCCTAATTAATCAGCAAATCTGTTCGCGCACAATACTAGCCAAAAGCAACAGAACCGTGTCAAATCCCACGGTCGACACGACAGGCATGTCATCATGGTCGACCGGTCATCGTGGTGCACAGGACGTGCACTTTAACTTAATATTCTCCCAAGTCCCAACTATTAACTTATTAATTTGTCGGTGATCTTCAGACCAATTCACTTTTACTGGACTCCTCAATGAACATTCTGTGCAAATCTTGTGAAAGTCAGAAAACATTCAGGCCCATGCCAAACGACAAGTAGGCCGTGGGCGAAAGCCTGTAACGTGCAATCTCGTCTTTACTTTGCAACTTAATTTCTCAGTAAAAATGTACAATGTGCACCACATCGTTTGCACAAATTAGAAATAAAGGGGAATGTTACCCAACTTTCGAACACCGTAACCATCGGACCACAGCACCCCACAGCGTACCAGCCTCGCCTCCATCATCCATGGGCACGTGCACCGTTCCTTCATCAACCCCTGTCCATGGGGAATACGTAAATGGCGCTGACTGGCTATTCAGCGCAATGAAAAGGCATTACGCAGTCTCTAAAATAAAACATTGTACGTTGCTTGCAAATCATGTATTCTGGGTAAAGAAATGGAGGAAAAATTGAGTCACTTATTCACTTGAAACTGACTGGTGATTTACTTGTGATTGATTTGTGCTGAATAAGGACGACAGAGGTAAGTGTAAAAAATCTTCATAAGGCCAAAAAATAGTCGGTCTCTGGTCAGCGCGCGCGTCGATTTTAATCATGCGCGTCAATCTTTTTGTTTTCCAAATTTTCCGCGGTAGCTACAACAGCGATCTCTATGAGCTCCGTGCACTACCTAAAGAGGGCGCCCTTTTACATAGCAACGACGTCCCATGGGTGGGACATTTCGCTGGTTGACGTGCACTGTTCCTTGTGTGTGACACACGTACACCAGGGGATTTGTACTATGTACGCGCAGTGGCCGCGCTTCGCAGCAAATGAATTGCAGTCAAGATGGCGTCGTTCGGTCACCCCCTTCTGTACTCTGTTTGCCGGTGAGGGGTACTTGTGAACGGAGCGGATTGCCGCACCACCTCACAGTTTTGTACTAAGGAGCACCAAGGAATAAGGAAATTGCACAAAGACAATTGATGGAGGGCACCAAGGCAAATGATGGAGGACACCAATGTAGGCCTATATGAGGACACAAACAAGCAAAATAGTACCCACCTTGTCTGTACAATCCAAGCTTGAAAAAAAAAAGCCGACCCAAAAACAATACTATTTTTGACCAAAAAAGGGAAAATAATGAGAAAAGATGTCGTCATAAGGCTAATTATGTAGCTTACATCCAGATTCAGATTCAATACTATCGAATTAGAAAAGTTTCAATTGACATCAGAAAGTTAAGACAAACCTCAACTTCTAGACCTGATGCGGAATCAGCCCATGGCCTAAAGGGGGCAGGAGTCCGGAAAAAAATTTGTCAGGAAATTGGACATCATGATACTTTTTTGTTTTCTTTTTAATAAATTTGTAGTATCCATTGGGAGGCGTGGGGCCCAACTGGTATCACTTTGACTGTTTCTGGAAGGTGGTGGAAGGCGAGGTGAAATCTACTGATGATATAGGTAAGACCTATATGGTAGACTTGGCCCAATTCCGGGTTGCGCTCAGTCTGTGCCTATATAGTAAATCCACGCATAGCGCATGGTCTGTACAGAGTAACGCCCGCCCTCATGCGTCGAACCTGGACCATCATTTCAAAAACGTGCATGTACCACAGACATATAAACGTGTATGTCTGTGGCAGTGTCATTTTCATGTGATGCAGCAACCCAGACTTGGTCAATCTGCCAAGCGTACGCGCTCGCGTTTTTCAGCATAGGTTCCACGTTTATCTGTGATTTGTAAACAGTCTATAGACATTAATTTTCGTTGTGATTGGCTTCTACCCATATATAGTTATTTTACAGGGTGAGTCAAAAAAAAATAATGACTGGAAAGCTAATTTCAAAAGCTACATTTAGATAAAAAAAATTTACTGAAATTGCTCAATCTGTTCAGAGAATATCACCATTTAAACGCAATGACACTAAAACCTGTCTCGTCCAAAAAAAATCGATTTATTATGTGTTTTTACTGTTTGATTCAACAAAGAAAATGATACAGAATACTTGTTTCAACAACTGTCACCAACTGTAGCACACAATATTTTGATTAACAACCCTGGTAAGGCAAAGAGTATGATTAATAAAATCTACTTTTTTAAAAGACGGGCCTTCAAAAGGACTTTGTTGCATACTGTTAACGTTTAAACTAAGATTTCATCGCTGTTGATGTTTGAAGACAATTGTTTCGACGATTGTTGAATTCGCATTTTTTGGACGAGACAGGTTTTAGGGTCATTTTGTTTAAATGGTAATTTTTTTAACGGATTGACCAATTTCCGTAATTTTTCATCCAAAAGTAGCTTATGAAATTGGCTTTCCAGTCATTATTATTTTTGGTGCTACATATTTTTTTAATTTGAAATGTTATTTTTGGGGTTTGGGTTCCGATTTTTTGGACTCACCCTGTATAACTGTCAAGGTCTTTTACCTGAAGTATGGGAACAATGAACCGCCGTCTACAAAATAATTACTGTTGACGAAAAATTGGCACCTGACAATAAAGCGATTAAATTTTTCCATAAAATAACATCACAGGCGTGTGTGTACGTGCATAGCGTTTCATTTTCTAAAACTCAAACCAGTAAAAACCTATTGGAGTAATCGCTTCATCATGATCGAATATTCGAATATTCGGTATATCCTGGACAGCCCTACTTAAGTCCAATTTGTACACAACAGAAACAAACTACCTTATCATGTATAAACCAGTTCTTCCATGAAGAGGACATTTCAAATCGCAGCTCAATGCATCATTTTTTTTCTTTTTGGACACATCTCGGGTTTGATGCAGGGTTGAAAACAAACACATTTCACACTTCAGAATGTTCAACCCTGCACCAACCCTGAGATTGATTTCACCCCGGTTTGAACACAACCCTGCTCCACACCAGCAGTAAACCACACCAGTAGTAAACCGAGCAAAATAAGCTCGGTTTGCACGAAACAAATGTGAAACATGCAGGGTTGAAAAAAATCAACCCGGGGCGGCCACTGCGTGGCACTGGAATTTTCAAGGGATGAGTTCAACCTGGGTTGAGAGGCTCTCGTGTGGAAGGCCTTAATGTGCTCTAACCAAATTGTTTATTGCTATTTGCCTGTAGCCAACTTTGACGACCTGCGCTTGGATGATCAGGAGAAGATCAGAGGTTGTATCAGTACCGGCGGGACCACAAAGAACAAAGTAACCTTTCTACGAGCCTTTAACGTGGAGTACGCCAGGTCCAACAGAAGCAGCTGTCGTGTATGTTGTAAGAAAATTGACAAGGTAATTACTGAATACTGATGTGTCCATTGAATCTTTAGTCTGGTACGTTGTCATGCTAGTACAGGTTTGCCTCGGCAGAATTAAAGAAATGCTTGCAGATTTGTAGGTTGTGGATGCCCACAAAAGTGACCAGTTAGAAAGAAACCTTACTTTGAATTAGTGTCTGTTCGTATTTTGTTATTTATTTTATTAATTTATTTGTTTTGTTGTTGGTGCAGAACAATTACATTAACTACTGGTATGCCGATATGTCTCTTGTTGTTTCACAGTCTGAAATTGTCATGGTTTTTATCAACCCCCAGCTATCCTTGCACGTGCAAACTCAATCTTTTCATTAACCAGTTTGTGCCGGATGACGTGTATGCCTGCAAAGGCTTTTTGGTATTCGGAACGGATGACGGATAAACACGCAGGGGGAGAGGACGGAAATAGAGGATGAGGGTTTCAACCCGGTTAGCATTAGGTCGAGTGAAAAGTATTCCCACGCCTTGTTCCGTTCTTGTCAAAATAATCCCGGTGCAAACTGGTTATAAGAATTCACTGCCAAAAATTCTGATGGAGACACGCTCGCAGGGGTGGTTGTACACGTTTTGATTGCTGTCAAATGGGTGATGTGCCCTGCTAGCTGTGTCAAATGCATGTAGTTAAAACATATACAAGAGGCTTGTTATTTTTGGTTTGTACGTGTATCCTACCAACATTGCAATGGTTTTATCAGTTATGCCTTGTAGTATGCTTCTGTTTTGTTGCTTGCTTTCCTGAATTAACCTAACTCCCACGTGTCTTTTACTAAGTACTTGACCAAGTCTGCCAAAATCCATCACTTACCCTGCTTCACATAATGCTTATGGACTAAAGCCGCTTCTTAAATCTACCACAACACCACCATTATTACAGGTGTATTTTGATGGACTTGGTACTCATGGCTTTCTTACCAAAATCCCCGAAATGGGGGGAATGGATTTTGATGGACTTCGGAAGGTAATAAGGTTAAAGGAGTCGAGACTTGACTATCGTCAATTTGCAATCATATTTCAGGATAAGGTACGCGTCGGTTTTAATTGGTATGGTATAACGCCCGGAGGTGAACCCTGTAGTAATGTTCTGTGGTACCATCCAGACTGCTTTCTCGTGCCGGGAGTCCTTGCTGAGGTTGGGTGGAAGGACGCATATTCTGTCGAAATGATCCTCGGATTCGAGCAGCTGCAGCCGAAAGATCGGAAAACTTTGACAGAGAAGTTTCAAGCGTACGTCATTATATGCAGCAGTTTTGAGATTTAGATTGAAAAAGGACTGTGGGCTCCGTGTATAACTTTATACTCGGTGGTTTTATGTAAGGGCTTAGCCAGCAGGGGTGGGGGAGGGGGGGGGGGGTTAAGGGGAGTGTTTACCCCCCCCCCCCCAATATTTTGCAAAGACTGCCCTTTTTCCATTCAAATGCCCTTTTTTGACCACTGCTTACCCCCCTCTATATTTTTTTTAAAGAGTGCCCTTTTTTAAGAAGTGCCCTTTTAAAAAAGAAGTGGTGCCCTTTTTATGCTACATGTCCTTCCGGGTGCCTTTTTTTTAATTTCACGCCTGTAACGCCTTGAAAAGCACAATATAATGTCTGTTAGTGTGCATAATGTATGTTAGTGTGCCCCCTCCCCGGAGGCCAAGTGTCCGGAGGGAAAAAAACTTGTCTACATTTCACCACAGATGATGTGCAAGTGCCCTTTTAAAAATCCCCCTCCATAAACGACCGTGCTACGCCACTGTAATGTTACAAAGAACAGCAACAACAACTGTGCCATAGATGTCAAATTTTACCGCGTTTAGATATGTCTGAAATGTCACTGTTCTTAAGATGAAGTTTTTTTATGATTCATACAGGAAACAAAAGGCTAAAGAATCAGTTGGTGAACCTGATGCTACAAAAAGCCCAAAGGAGTCGACGAGGAAAAAGAAAAGCTCAAGGTGAGTTTGGTTACAGATGAACACTAACCACATGCAGATGAGTTCAGACAAAATACATAGGCCATCGGCTTGAGGATTTGGTCGGTATCAAATGAGGGGAATAATGCTCGTTGTGATTTTTGGCAATGTATTTACCTCTGCGGTTGGAAAATAAGGTGAAAGCATTGAAGCGGTGGCAGCTTTTTGGGTGCTATCACTTTAAAAAAAAATGGCGGCCAAAACATGCTTATACCATATACAGATAATCCGGTAAGAAATATATTGACGGCCACTTTGAAAACATTGTTTTTATGATGATGACACCCAAGAAACTACCACCGCTCGCACTGCAAATTAAGGTATCACACATTTCCCAAATCTAGATGTGCATATACCTTGCCAAAAATCGCTACGATTGCTCCTTTTGATCATTATTTTGATGCCGGTGGCCCGGTCTTTGGACCGAAGCTGATAGCATAGTACTTCTGATTGCAATGTACCAATTGTTGCCACTTGTTGCTCAATGCTAGCCAAAAAAAAGCTCATATAACATTCGTAAAACATCACTTCAGCTTTAGTTTTATTCGTTTCATTGAATTTTGAGAAATGCTTCATGCTTCGCACTGGATAAGGTGTTCACATGCTTTTTTTTAGCGGTATTCTTAACGGATGACGGATAAACACGCTACGATCGAGGCCGGAAATATCTGTCAGCGATCCGCTCGCAGCGAGCAAAGCCGGAAATATAAGTGTGTATGCCTGAGGGTGATGGCTTCAACCCGCCTGGCTTGAGGTCGAGTGATAAATAATCCCGCGCTCCGTTCCGTTCTTGTCAAAATAATCCTGGCGCGAACTGATTAAAGGAAACTATTCTGACTTTTCTCTACATTGAATATAAGTTGCTCTCTCCAATTCAAGTTTTACCGCGTTTAAAAATGTCTAAATTATCCCTGTTTTCAAGATTCAATTCAATGTCAATTTATTTATTCTCATCATGTTAAAACAAGATGAACATTTTTTTTTCTGATTCATCAGGAAACAAAAGGCCAAAGAATCAGTTGATGAACCTGATGCTAAAAAAAGCCCAAAGGAGTCGACGAGAAAAAAGAAAAGCTCAAGGTGAGTTTGGTCACAAATTACCACTAACCACATGCAGATAAGTTCAGACGAAATTAACAGTGTAGGCCATCAGCTTGGGGGTTTGGTCGGTATCAAATTAGGGGAATAATGACCGTTGTGATTTTGGCACGTAAACGGATGACGGCTAAACACGCAACGATCGAGGCCGGAAATATCTGCCAGCGACCTGCTTGCAGCGAACGAAGCATGCCCGGCCGATGGTGATGGCTTCAACCATCTTGGCTTGAGGTGGAGTAAAAAATAATCCTGCGCTTCATTCCGTTCTTGTCAAAATAATCCCGGCGTGAACTGATTTATGGAAACTATTCTTTAGTAGTTTTCTCTACATTAACTAAAGTTGCTTTCTCCATTTCAAGTTTTACCATGTATTCAAATGTTTAAAATGTCACTGTTCCTGAGATGAAGTTTTTTTTATGATTCATATGCAGCAAGCGAAAGGCCAAAAAATCAATTGATGAACCTAATGCTAAAAAAACCAAAGCGGTCGACGAGGAAAAAGAATAGCTCTAGGTGAGTTTGGTTACAGATGACCACTAACCACATGCAGATAAGTTCAGACGAATATAACAGTATAGGCCATCAGCTTGGGGGTTTGGTCGGTATCAAATGAGAGAAAAATGCTCGTTGTGATTTTTGGCAATGTACCGTATGCACCTCTGTAGTTGAAAAATATGTGAATTAATATTGCAGCGGTAGCAGCTTTTTTGGGTGCTATCTTTTAGAAAAAAAATGGCGGCCAAAACATGCTTATACCACATACAAATAATCCTCTAAGAAACATATTGACGGCCATTTTGAAAAAAAGTAATTAAAAGCACATTTTTCAACTCTAGATGTGCATACCTTGCCAAAAATGGCAACGAGTATTGCTCCTTACGTTCATTTTATACCCATGGCCCGGTCTTTGGACCGAAGCTGATAGCATAGTACTTCTGATTGAAATGTACCAGAACAAACATCAGTGTGCAAAACTTCTCCTAAAGCTTTCCAAAATTATTAAAGTTTTTTTTATCACCAAACAATATTGACTGTCAAAGTTTAATTGATAATCTGGCCGCTTCTTGCTGGCACTGGTGTTTAGCGTGGCCAACTATTCACTGAGCAGTGTTTGGCATTTGAAGAATCTGAACATCGAAGCAATGGCTCATCAAAGTACTCCAAAAGATGTTTTTTCGTCCAAAATTAAACAAATCGAACTTCTCAGAAGGTTAAATTTTCTGATCCTCTTTCTGTTACGATATTCAAAAGTACACTGGGTATGTTCCTATAAAAATGTCGCCCGATCACCCTGCGTTTGTAACTCAACAAACGCAAATCTCTAGTTTTCATTGATCTTTTCAACGAAGAAAAACTCTAATTCAGGGGATAATTCGATTCAGTTAAGTGCGTATTAAGGGTGGAAGGGATGTTTCCGAATTCTTTCTTTTGTTAACATTATATGAATTTGGAATGTTCAACACAAATTTGCAATTGAATGTAATCATGCAGTAAATCCAAGATTAAGATTGATTTCGATCTTCTTAATCGCGTTGCTTTGACCGCCAGGTACTGTGATGATGAACTGAATGGTGTCGCCGAAGACTCCAAAACAAACCTGGCCTTGATGAAGTTCAAGAGCGACTCCGTGTTCAACTACAAAGGATTCGATATCGAGTATCGTTGTGAATAAATCCACCACATCAGACAAAACTTGACTGACAGTAACGAGCGTTGATTCTGGTGTAAAATTCGATTGAGAGAAACAGATACCCTAGATAGGGAAGAATTAGGCTTTTAGTTTAGTGTCTAGTTGCTTTCGTTAATGTGCGTAGGGTTAATTAAGCACGCTTATAATTATGGTCGAAGACTATGCAAGCCTTTTAAAGAAAATGCTAGATAACTTCGTGAGTTTTAATAGAACAATGTATTGGAACATTAAGGGCAAACTAATTGTTTTTTGTTAGTGGAAGCGAATCTCGACCCATTTTCTTCAATCCTATACTGTTGCAGCAGATCTGCAATGCTTAAAGAAGTTGTGGAATGCTCGAAGACATTTCCGTCATTTTTCGGGTATATGTAGCCTAAGGTGTGATGAAATAAAAACGACTATTGTTTCTGTCATGAAATGAGTACAAAAGTACTTTTGAGAGCTGTTTTTCAGGTCCAGTTTCGACCCGAACGTGCAACTGTGTAAAAGTCGTCGTTGCGGGCAGCAAACAAAACACAGTAAATCGAGACGTAATAGGCCGTGTCCGAAACGGGCTTCCAGAGCTACGGCTACGTCTATTGTCAGCGCGTCTCCGCGTATTTCTAATGGAGCGAAGACCTAGACCTAGCTCTAGACAACAGATTCGGATGCAGCCATAAACAGGACTCGTGTATGCTACTGTGCATCGGGAGTCCTGTTTATTACGTCACGATTTACTGTGTTTTGTTTGCTGCCCGCAACGACGACTTTTACACAGTTGCACGTTTGGGTCGAAACTGGACCTGAAAAACAGCTCTCAAAAGTACCTTTTGTACTCATTTCATGACATAAACAATAGTGGTTTTTATTTCATCACACCTTAGGCTACATATACCCGAAAAATGACGGAAATGTCATGCATGAATTTGAGGTTTGTCAACAAAGAGGTTTGTCAACACTACACGCGGAAAGTCGGGTACGCTTCGAAGTGCGCCACGTTAGGGAACACGACTATACTGTGGAATCGTGGTGGATCGTCGCGTCTTGGGTGACATGAGCATGGTTGAGATTATTTTGCGTCGGGATGCCGCTTGTTTCAAGAGAATCACACGATTTCTCAGTTTTGGACTTGAGCATTATTTTTCTGCTTGATGCCGACGGTTCCGTAGCACCGGCGGCGGAACCGGGGGGGCAGAGGGGGCAGTTGCCCCCCCCCCCCCACTTTTGAATAGGTAGCTATTTTGCCCCCCCCCCCCCCCACTTTTTACCACGAGCGATTTTTAAAAACGAGGTTAATTAAAATGATACAAGAGGTAAAAAAGATTTTTGAACACGTGTCTCATTCACAGGGCCCTATTAATAGTATTATGTACTACAATGTATCTTTTGCTCAGAAAATATTGGTTAAAGTGGTCAGAAATTGCCTCAGATCGCACCACAGAGCATCTAGAATCCAATTTATTAAGGGAATAAATGTGTGCTCCGGAGGTTTTTATCACTCGTTTAATACCGCTTAGAGTCTGGGTGCTGATAATTACCCGAGCCGGAGGCGAGGGTAATTATCAGCACCCAGACTCTAAGCGGTATTAAACAGAGTGATAAATACCGACCGAGCACATATTTATTCCCATTCATAAATACCTTATTCGTAAAAAAATATCAAATAATTCGTTCAAAAAATCCCGATTTTGTTCATCAAGTTCACTTCATGCTTTTTGAAACATCCCTCTAGCAAAATAATGGAGTGTTCAGCTGGCTAGTAAGATGTAAACAACCCTTTTATGGAGATTGACGCGCGCGTAACATGTTCTGCGCGATGTCACGCAGAACGCACCTGGGGCGTTGCGTTTTGAATTTAGAACTATGAAATTCTGACTCGATTGTAGTGTTGCGCATGCCTACGTGAGGATTGTGAACGTTCAACCAATGAAACGGTAAGAGGCACTGGATTTTTAGGAGTCCACATTTTATTGTGACACTGGAAAAGTGTTTAAGACCAGCTAGCCATGTCTTATCATCCGTTTAATACCGGCCACGTGACGGGATCTCGACCAATAGGAATAGCTAAACTGTCTGAGGTATTTATGAATATCTAATAAAAAGTATTAGTATTTAGAACCCCACGCCTCAAGGGCTTCACGCTTCACGCTCGCATCAGTTCTGATCAAGGTATGTTCCCCCACTCTTGAATAGCGATTAACACCCCTGGCTGGGGGTGAAATTTGACAAAAGGCCTTATACCTAAATGAGTATGGCGACACAAAATTTGAAAAATGATACGAAAAATAGGAATATACCGTAATTTTCGGAATATAAGCCGCGCGGTGTATAAGCCGCAGCACGCAAAAATCTGCAAATTAAGATCTGAAGTCGGCGTATATAAGCCGCCGGCACCCACCGCAGCGGTTTCAATTTTGTAAGGCCTCCAAATTCTAGTCAAAAAGCTCTGAACCAGTTCCAGTTACACTACAGAAGCTATAAAAAGGGCCACAAAATTTATATCAAATCATTTTCAATCGATACTCTTACAAACAAATATGGAAATTGATGATGAGAAATAAACACCGGGAACTGCTGCCGGCTGCCCCCGTCCGGGTCTCCGGCCTTAAAAGTTAGTGCATGGCCGGCCAGGCAGCCTGCGCCGCGCCATTTTCCCGCAGTACGTGAGAGAGTATGCAACCCACCGTGTGTTGTCTGACTGGAGCGCTACAAATCTTGCTTTTGTGGCAACAGATGCCGACTTGTTTTGTCCTAAGAATAAACAGGTCCGTTTTTACCTCAAAACTTTTCAATTTTTTTGTGATTACTAGGGAATAGTAACGTAAAAAGTTCAAGTTTCGATCGTTACTTTCTTCAAAAATAGTCAAAACCAAAGACCCTTTAACGCCGTACGAAACGATGCTGACATTTTTTTATGGACGAATCCATTAATTTTGTAAGGGGTGATTTAGTCCCTGTTTTGAGTTTTACATCGTTTCTTGAATTCGTTTCAAGAAAAAAATATATACTGTGACGTTGAACAACTTATTATCTAATAAAGAAATTTTTCGAACACCATAAAAAGTATTAGTCGTCTTTTTTTCGTTTTTTTTTAAATGCAGAAATATTGGTAATTATTGTTCCCAAGAAAGTACACCCCTTCATTACCACAAATGGTGTGGTCCGCTGGGGTAAAGCATGCAGCTAGCTGCACACCAATCATGGTATCACGTACGGCTGGTCGCAAGCGTCGAAGACAGCTTTCACCGTACTTTTTACCGCTCGGTACCTAGGTTTCGGTTTGTTAATTACTTTTTTAATTGATAATTCATTTCAGCAACACCTCTCTCCTTATACCAGTACATTAACTACACATGTGAATCTTATTTTTATTCTTCAAGGCTCAGCGTATAAGCCGCCCTGTGTATAAGCCGCAGTAAACATTTTCATGGGCAAAATCAAGCCGCGGCTTATATTCCGAAAATTACGGTAGGAATAGTCCACATGCATAGGTTAGCAGACATTACGTAGGTCACACTTTCGTTTCGGACCAACTTCACACTTTTCCCATTTGCTTTGATTTTGCTTTAATTCTGCTCCGGGAACAGTAACTGCACTTTGCACCCCCCCCCCCCCCCCCCCACTTTTAAAAGTGTTCCGCCGCCGATGTTCCGTAGTGGCGCAAGCAAATCGCGGGTCGACCTGAAGGCGGCTTTAGAGGCAAGATGCTGCATGACCAAGGCCTATCCAATTAAGGTAGCCGTACCTTCTCTGAATTTGTTGTTGGAAGTAAATTTTTGTAACAACCGATCTGATTGGACAGACATTGACAGTCAATCCATATTGGACAGATTGGACAGTCAATCCATATTTGGAAGTGTAATAAATAATGTATCCCTGGCGCGAGGTCAAAATAGTAGATATGTGGACTCGGTTTGCCAAGGCAACGTCTTCAGACGTAAGTGAGCTAAGTAAGACTAATCTGCTGGCAATGATGAAGTGAAAGAGAAGTCCAATCTGCTTAATATGAAGCACATTTGAAGTTACTCATAAAATGTATGTTACTAAGAATTCGATTCACATATAACCATGTCTGTTGAATACTGATAATAAATCTTTCTTATGTTTGAAAGCACGTTAAATATATCTTAATGAAAAGCTTCTCATTTTTAGAAAGTTTAGATAGTTTAGTTAATTGTTTTTACACTCGTGGGAAATGGCCAAATTACAGTTAAAAATACAATTGTAAGAAAAAACATTAAAATTGTAAAATTATATTACATATAAATATATACACCTTATCGGCAATGAAAAGTGCATTGGAAGATTCATTGGGACATAAATTAACCACCAATATTTACACACAAACGTACTGCAACTACCTATTTAATAAAATAACAAATTAAGGAATAGAACTGCTTCAGCTGGTCGACATTATGGGCACTGCGCAGATTGCGAGAATGACTCTCATATCTAGTCGGGGAGAAGGTCCATAGTTCGCGATTTTTGGAGAGCCCTTCCGCAAACCGCTGACAGTGACCTTCTCTTCTGCTAGACAAAGACTCAATCTCGCAGTCTTGAAGAGCATCTTTTTTTTCTAGTAAGTAAACTTACTATCCAAGCCTATCTGGCATGCTCGCCGTTGCAGTGTTTCTAATTGAGACGATTGTTTACATGTGAATGCCATATACATCAGCGTATTCTAACAATGGAAGAATATACCCTTTGTACACAGTAACAAGTTGTGGGTTTAGTGAACCCATATTCTTTCAGCAGACGGAGCATGTACAATTTACGGTTAGCTTTGACGGAAATCTCTGAAATAGTTTTGTTCCATTAAAGGTTGTTCTGTATCCAAACACCAAGAATGTTTGCCTAATCAACAAACTGAACTTAGTGGGCATTGATTGAACTTAAGAACAGCGGGGACAGGGGCTTGTTGTTTGTAACATATCTGGAGGGTCTGACACTTGGTTGGATTTAAGCAAAGCATATTATCATCACACCATTGACTAAATTTATTAAGAATCTCCTGAAGCTTGCTAGTACAGAAATAAGAACGGTTTTCAGCTAGTGTCCGATCAAAAAGATATTTCCAACGATTCATATAGGCCTAGTCAGGAACATCTTCAACAGCATCATGAATCATGATGCCCAATTGGTCTCAGCTTAGTACCCTGAGGAAAGCCACTTATCAGAGTTTTGTATGTAGACAAAGTTTGATTGTATCGAACACATTGCATCCGGTTGCTGTAAAAGCCGCACAACCCAGGGACGATGAATCTGCTGACTCCCAAGCAGATGAACGTTTCAATCATCAGTCTATGGTCCACCATGTCAACGCAGAACTTTCTTAGGTTCTGTCATTTTGCTTGAGGGATAAAATTTATGCACCGTCGTTTGGACAATGAAGCTCGTGCACTCTGCCCAAAAAATCAACTTACATATTAAGCATCATTAAGTTCTTAACAAATCGCACGTGTCTTATCATCTCTCCTCTAGTATTTTAACTAGTGTTAAGACACCGTATTGGGTTTTTTTTTTCAGTCAAAACCTTGAAGACAACCAAAAAAGTCTCCTTGGTCATCACGAGAAAACTTATCACCATTTGTATGAGAAATTGAGAAGAAGCTCGAGTGAAAAAAGTGTCCCCTTTTCCCCTTCTAAAACTAAAGACGAGTTGTCCTATCTCTACAAAGTTGTTTTCCTTTAGCGGAGAGGCATTTTGCTACCAAACCTGTTTTGGTAAAAAATGTACTTTAGTTTATTTCTCAATTTGGTCTTAAACGTCGACAGATGGAATATTTAGTAGTCATCAATGTCGCTTCATAGAGTATAAGCATATAGCCCTAAAGTAAAACAAATGAATTGAAAAGTTGAATATAATGTTTGGGCTTTAAATACATTCATATAATTGCCTTTTAGTTTACAATCAATTAGAAGCTTCAATTATTGAGGTACCAGACAATCAAATTTTTAGATATAACCTTGTTAACAATGCAGAATGCGGTATAAAAGCAGATTGATACAAGCATTGCACATTTCAGGAATGAGCCGGGATAACTGTGTCGATAGCGAACTAATTTGTATAGGGAAAACCAGCAAGACCAGAGACGAACGAGCTTAGAGGCAAAGCTACTGAACTCAACAAGAGAGAGAGAAAAAAGTGACCAATTGTGGGTTAAATTACATAGGCAAAAATAATGTTGTCTTTTCTTCCGTCAGTGATGGAATTAACAAGTTGCCTGATGTGATGAAGAATGTGACGTTTTAAACACCCGAGGGCAATAGAGGCGCATATCACCCGAGGCTAAGCCGAGCCGGCGTGCTATGCGCCCCGAGGGTGTTCAAAACGTCATATCCCACATCACAGCAGTCATCAATAATAGTTTTGCTATACTTCTGTCTTGGCTTCGTTGGATTGTGATGTAAAAATCACGAAAACAAACAGCAGTAAACACAACAATCATGACAATCGAACGTCAACTGACATGTCGCGTGCTCGAAACAGCTGGTCGTCTGCTAGTTCGCTGCTCCCTTCATGTGTGGAAACATGGTGAAAATAGCGTGGGTACCAAAGTTACAAGTGTTTCACACCGTATAATATATCGTACGCACAAGTCTTAGCACACTCCCCGTGTGACATCACGTACGCGATATCCCACTGGGAGTATGCCATGACTTTGTTATAAACTTAACATGTGATCGTTCTAGGCCAATGAAAATACAGTATTCCAGATAGAGGTATAACAATCTCCTTTGGCTCACAGCCGGTTTGTTTTTCAAAAATGAGCTCTGTCATAACTCAAAATAGTTCCCTCAACAGAATATCATTTGAACTAATTTTCTTTTCCCTTTCCTGTTGCTTGATGAAGATCTTATTTTGCCTTCATGTGATTGTCGTTCTGATATACATTTTTTAAAGACGTAAAATTAGATGTTTTATTAAGGACAACAAAGAAATTATTTGCCTGTACATATATTTTACTTTCGATTTTTCAGTTGGTAGACATTTAATTTTTTAAACCTGCTCGGAGTGACCTGCGTACCCCGGGTACGCAGGTGACCGAATTTTTTGGAAAATAAATTGAAGGCCAATGACGTTCACCTTCCATCTAAGCCTCATTCAACCCATGCAAAATCAGCTGGTTCAATGCACTTTGCAGCCAGGGTTTCACCCGAGCGGTGTCAACAACCTTGGGACCAGGCCTCCTGCAAAGTCTCATTGAAACATATACAAACACCTGTAACTTGACACAGCCATCTCCCTTCATAGCCGCAAACCGCAGCCACCAGTCAATTATCTTTTAAGTGCCCTGTTTGGCAAATGCCTGGACACTGTCTGGCACGTGACTTTTTGTTGTTTTGACATGGATAGGGTCTTGCGTAGTGGGGGAAGTACCTGCGTCCCAAAGGTACGCAGTTGGCGACTTCGGATAAAAAGTTCTTGTAAACGCTGCGCAGGGTTAAGAAAGTCTTCTTACATTTGATCCCCTTCATAACAAATTCCAAAGCGGCCACTTATATGAAGCAACCATCTCGTTGTCTCACAGACAAGTCTTATACTGCCTGCAGGTTGCCTTGCAATCAATATCCTTCGCAGTCCTTAAATCACACTTTTTATGCAGCACTGGTGTACAATTTATAATATGCATGGACAAGAATTACCCTGTGCAATGATTACCCTTGTGGAGTGCCGTGGCCTTGAGGTCTGGAGCACTGAACTCGTGGTCTGCGGGTAATTCTGCAGGTTGTAGGTTCGATTCCCACCAGGGTTTTTGTGTGCGTGTGTCCTTAAGCAAGGCACTTTTTCACTCATTGCTTCTCCCCACCCAGGAGTAAAGGGGTACCTGTGAGGGCAGAGATGGTTGTTATGATTGATCATACCCTGGGCCGAAATGGCAGCATCGAGCTGCATACTCCCGAGGGAGCTAAGTTGTCTTTGGATTTTTCATTGGCCAAATTATCAGGGTAACAATAATGTAAAAGTAATAAATGTAATTGTTGTTACATGTATATGATACATCTTCTAAACGTACACAACTCAAATCGTATCAGATTCGTCGATACCTTCGTTGGTATGGCCACCCATATCGCTTCCTTTGCATTCTTCATGCTCCTCCTCAGACACTTCGTCGTTTTTGTTTCTTGGCCAGAACAGTTGCAGCACCCTGCAATTAACATGGATTATAAATGCTTCAGTTCTGCTATCAGTTTCAGTTTCTTAGGTCACAATAAACCTTTGCAACTTGTGCTTATCCTACTCTGCCATTAGAAATCTACACTTCACCTCATAAAAACTTCATTTTACTTTTTTGACAAGGAAAGAGGAGCTAGGCTGTCAATATTTTTATGCTACAAATAAAACGATCTCGCATTTTTTTTATATGTGTCTCCAGTTATAAGATCTGACTTGAAATCGACGAATGGATTAAATGTCTTATGGTTATTTGATCTATGAAAAGCATAACAGTAATGAAAACTGCTTACACAACGATTCCAACAGGGAAGACGCACAAACCAGCGAAGACGTAAAAGACAGCCGGGGGTACAGACTTGACGGTAGCTGAATAGATACCGGTGCCCATAATACCGGCTATAAACCCTGCCAAATTGTCTAGGCATCCTACTAAGGAAAAAGCCGCACCTGTGGAAACAATAATTATTAAAGACCATTGTATGTTTATTTGGGAGTAAGACCAGTCATTTTGAAGCTTTAAATGGTTGACTACTCAAGTGAGTAGCTAAAGGCGCTTGAGCCCCCCCCCCCCCAAAAAAAAGGAGAGGCGCTTGGGTCCCCCCCCCCCCACAAAAAAGGAGGAATAGATGGGAAGAGCCAGAAACAATTCAGAATTTAAAAAAGAATAACAAATAAATACAGAAAACGAAGAAAAAAACTCTCACCTATTTCCGTTGACTCCACTATTTGGGATAAGAGTGTTCGTGCTATTGGAACGGACATCAGTTCGAAAGCGCCCAGAATGCTGGCTGAAACAAATCCAGGGTTATCAGACTTATGATAATGTATCTTGAATAAAGGAATAATGGCTTTGAAAGTCGTTTTAAGTATTCTATAATATTGACTCGCATTTAAGGTCAAATCAGATAAAAATTTCATGGTTAGCTATATTAAGGGAATGCTTGGCCGGTTTTAAACAAGTAAGATTGTGTTTAACAATTTTACTTATGTTTTATGAAACACACCTCTCGCTACGTTTACAGTCATGTGCCTCGCGCAAGTAGGACTAAAACTCTCCTTACATGGAGATCGCGCACTGCGCGATTAGGCGCAGAACGCAGCGGCGCCGGTGTGGTGTGAATTTAGGACACTATGAAATACGGACCCATTATTAGTTTTGCGCATGCCTAAGTGAAGATAATTAGGACAGTAACTGGTCACGTGTATGGGATCAACCAATGAACGGTTGAAGGGACTAGAATTCTTAGGAGTCCAAATTTCATGTGAAACCGGACCAAAAAAAGTGTTAAAACCAGTCGGTGTTTACTCAAACGTTTAAAACCACGCACGTGCAGGGCTCTCGACCAATAGGAGTGGGTAAACTGTCTTGTGGAAGGTAAACGCCTTCAGGTGATGAGCCAAATGCAAACGACAGCAGGAGAGAGAAGAACATTCCGAAGAGGGTCGGTGCAGGCAGCCCTGCTTCACTCTACTGCGGATTGGGAAGGCCTCTGAAGTTTCTACATCACAACGGACGGAGCCCTGTATGCTGTTGTGATATGATGTCACGATGCTGAGAAGTTTTGGAAGGCAACCGAACTTTGCAAGCAGCTTGAAGAGACCACATCAGGGGCATGTACGAGGGGATCAAACAAGCCACAGGTCCCTCCATGAAAAAAACGGCGCCTCTCAAATCCAAGTCCGGTGAAGTCATCACCGACAGCAGCAAGCAGGAAATGTGGGCTGAGCACTACATGGATTTTTATGCCACAGAAAACACAGTGCCAGAGGAGGCTCTGAATGACATCGCCAGCCTGCCTGTGATGGAGGAGCTTTACAAGAACCCCACGCAAGAGGAGCTCAGCAAAGCCATTGACAGCCTCGCTTGCGGCAAGGCCCCAGGAACTGATGGGATAATACCTGACGTCATCAAACTTGGGAAACCCTCCCTTTTGCCATATCTTCACGACCTCCTCTACCTTTGCTGGAATGAAGGAGGTGTCCCCCATGATAGGCGTGACGCCACAATCGTCACACTTTACAAGAACAAGGACGACCACAGCGACTGTAATAACCACCGCGGCATCTCTCTGCTGAGCACTGTGGGGAAGGTCTTCGCACGCGTTGCCCTTATCAGGCTCCAACTTCTGGCGGAGCGCGTCTACCCTGAGTCACAGTGTGGCTTCAGGGCAGCAAGATCCACGGTGGACATGATCTTTACCCTTCGACAACTGCTGGAGAAATGTCGTGAACAGAGGAGACCCCAGTATCTCGCCTTCGTCGACCCCACAAAGTCCTTCGACCTTGTTAGCAGAAATGGTCTGCCTGGGTTGTATAGCTTGACCTTACTGAAGACGAGGGAGTGGTCCGTGTCGCAGTCTGCGCTATGAAAAGAGCGGGTAGGGTGGACGAAGTTGAGTGCCTCTCGTGTCGTGATGATGAGGTCGAGCTAGTGCCAGCGTTTGGATCTTGGATGCCTCCAGGAGACCCTGTGCAATAGTGTCTCTTCTGCAATTTTGCCATGCCAGAAGAAAGTGTAGTTTTTCTCCTTTAAGGAACCATAGTCAGTTAGCCGTGTCTCTTGGAGAGCAGCAATATTGACATTGAGTCGGTTGATGGTAGTTTTGCGAGAGTCGTCGATGTGGTCAAGGCTGTATGAGAGCCCTAGTTGTGCGCATGGTTCTAACATTCCGGCTGGATATGCGAAGAGTTAATTGGCATCTTTGTTTTCATCTTTCCTTGTGTGTCTGGTGCGGTGTTGACGTCCGCTTGTCGTGCTTATACACTAAGCCCCAAGCACCCAATGAAGCAGACGGACGCTGGCGGTTCGACACGTCACTGGCCGGGGCTGCCCGGGTTGAGGCGAGCGGTAGCCGACCACTGGAATGAGATGGTTCCTCCCACCGTCGAAGCTGGCCCGTGGCGCCCCGTTCTCTACGCGAATTGGATGAGACTAATAACCCGTAAATGCCAGCTGCCGTGTTGTTTCCTCACTCTAGGATGAGGCTGGAGTGGCCTTTCAAGGGCGCAAGGCTGGAGATCACGGTTGCCAAGGCGTCACGGTTGCCAAGGCGTCAGAATCCCCTCTCGGCCTTGCTGGATCTGCCGAAAGGGTGTTTGCAAGGCAGGTTTACTCCTTTTTCCGTTGAATCAGACGTTCACCTCCTCCCCCTGGCCGTTGTCTGAAGTAGCTCATCCGCCCAGTGGTGCAGTGTAGACACCAACCTCTCACGTGGTTTCGCCCGCCAGCTGAAGCGGTATACCGGGGTGTGGCACTTGGAGCCAGCACGTGAGAGATTTAGGAGATGGATGAGAATCAGTGATGCCTGTCCACTCTACCAAGAGAGTGCAGCTGACAGACAGCAAAGGTACTATCTCGATCCAGAGCCCCCTACAATCATGTACTTTTCAATTTACGAAAGTTTAAACACAACCAACTTTTAAGGTTCTGTCCACGTATAATTAGTAAGATGTGTACACGTGTGTGTGACCAAATTTGTATCCTTGTGGAGACTCGCACACAATAGGGAACAAAACATTGTAAAGGTCTCCAGGGCAATTTCTATAGATGAATAGGTCTCCACAAGGTTTTCACGAAATAGACATATGGGTTTTACTCAAAAACTAGGAATTTCCAAGGTGGGTTGATCCGTCGCAAATGGAAGAGTTTTAGAAAAGGGATATCAAGTCCAAATTTCAGCCAAGGAAACTAATTCTGGTTAAAATAAGAGCATTTTGAAACTTCACTTTCAAAATTGAACACTTTACTACACGAGAACAAAGAAATGTCTCCACAAGGATACAAATTTTAGAATGTGTGTGCGTGTGTGCGTGTGTAAACACCGGCAATCGTGGACGTAGAACAAAAGAATGTGGGCTCAAACAATACGTCCACGATTGACCGAACGTCCACGATCTCAAATCGTGTACAAAACCAATGAGAGCTGTCGCTAAAAATTTAGAGTACAAACAAAGGAAAGAGGATTAGGGACAATGGGGCGTCCACGATTGCCGGCATTTACACACTTGGGTGTTCCTGCATTGCATTACGCTTGAGGACAGACAACAAAAGGAGCAGAAAGGGGCCATTCATCCTCGAACGACGGTGCCTATTGTCCTCGAATGCCGATTTGTGCACTAAGTCTATGGGAAAGGTTTAGATCAGGGAACAAAGGAAAACACAAAGCCAATCCTCGGAAGCATAGCAAAAAACGACGGTGTGTTCTTTTAGCAAAACGAAAGCAATTCACACACCCCTATGTGAATGATGTTCGGTGTGCTGAAAGAACACTTACCTTTTTTTGTGATACGAGGACAGAATCTCGTAGGCTGGATTGAAAGCAGTACACCACCACTAAGTGTAAATACCATATTAGGATATAAGGATGACTTGTTATTACTTCATCTCTGTCATGTACCTACCTAGATAGATCATCCAGGTTGTTTGCGACACTCCCATGACAACATTGAAGGCTAAAAGGCTCAGACAACTGACTTGCATAATCCAGTGGTCACCCATGCACAACTCAAAGAGTTTGGTTCCACCCACCATTCCTATGACAAATATCATTTGAAAAATTCGGATATTATTTTCAAAACTCTATTCATTCAATCAATATCTAAACCTTAGTCAATCCAAGCCTCTTTACATTTTTGTCATTTATCACAAAAACAATCCAAAACGATGGTTTCCAATTTTGCCAAAACATTTCCTTACCTGTTATTTAGTATTGGAAGTTGAGATACACATTGTTTTTAGTCCGCAGAACCAGCAATTTGGAAAAATTTATAAAATGGATAAAACAGAATGAAAATGGTTTATTAATATTTGGTGCTAAATTACATTGACAATTCGGCCTTATTGGTTAAAATAACAAGAAGAACTCACCAACAGAAACAGTAATGTACCTAAACGCTGAGGCAATACTCGCACTGATGGCGTCCCAACAGAAAGGTGAAGCCGCCCCATACAAGATAAAGATAGCTGAAGTTCCAACGATGTTCAAATTTATGAAAAACATGAAGGCGTTTAGAAGAAGCATCTGCCATCGACGGCCGTTCTCGTTGAACTTGAAAAGCTTCACCACGCTCCTACCAGCTTCCTTCAACCCTTTACGATCTTCTGCAATGTTTTCTGGATCCACAGTTTCAAACAGAAAACCTGGAATGGCAATATACAACAAGCACAGGATATTGGCTCCTAGAGCCAAGAAAAATGGTGCTAAGATACTGACATAATCTACCATGAAACCAATACCGACTTGGACAAACCCACCGAATAATGAGAACACCATCTCAATGACCGCTAAACGAAGTGTTCTATTCTTCTCTGACGTGATGTCGACGATGTATGAGGCGCAACCAGCATAAAACAACCCAAAGCCACCACTCATTCCTTGCAAGATGGATCCTACGAAGAGAACTGGAAGAGGGAGTTTGAAGTGCATAGTTGCCAGATAGACAACCTCCTGAATAATGTAACCCACGATCGGCATAACCAAGCATATCTTCCTACCTAACTCATCGCTTAAGGTGCCCAGAACGACCGAGCTTATCATGAGCGGTATGCTTGCAGACATGAACAAGTAGAACATCCAAAGGGAAGTCTGAGACTGGATGTCATCTTGAATTGCTTGAGTGTCGTCATCCGTTTCATTGCCTGTGCATCCAGAGTTTTCATCACCCCCGGTAATGTTGTGCAATGACTCGGCTAGACGGCGTTGCAGGTAGAACGGTTGGATTATACTTATGCTAACGTAACCAAATGTAAACAGTGATACAGTAGGTTCTACCGTGACCCAACGGCGCTGGGCCCGCTGGCGACCGGAGAGCCCTGCTACCGCACGCTGCGGCAGATCTATCTCGTCGTTTGCCATTTCAGCGTTTAAGCTAGTTAACCCAGTAGTCAGTCTAGAAAATTGTCAAATGACCAAAATGTACCAGTAAATGGTTTTTCAATCACGGAGGAGTTACGCTCAATGCAATAGATTAAATGGTGAGCAAAGATTTAATGCAGGAAAAGATTCAACTGCAGGAAAAGAATGCCTTAATCTCTAGGCCTTAATCTCTGTAAAGCATACTAGTCTTTTTTGCCTTCTTTTTTTGGCTGATACTATTCTTAAGTTGCACTTTGCCTTCCACAGAAGTAGATTGTTGACATGTAATTTGAGGAAGGTCAATGTTCATCATTGTGTATTTATGTGCTACACCCCCAATATAAAAGTGGACCAATCTTTGTACATAATTAAACCTCCCTTAGAATACTAAGAGGAGTAGCCTTTTCGTATTTAAATTTGTGTAGGTAATTAGTATTATATAGGCATCCTTTATTATGGCCATTCTCGAATGGGCAGGGCCCTGGATATGTGCACACACACACCCAGTCGTTTTTTGCTATGCTTCCGAGGATTGGCTTTGTGTTTTCCTTTGTCCCTGTAATATAACACTCTCCCATAGACTAAGCACACAAACCTGCGTTCGAGGACAATAGGCACCTTCCTTCGAGGATCAATGGCCCCTTTGTGCTCCTTTTGTTGTCTGTCCTCAGGCGTAATGCCATGCAGGAACACACACACCCACACACACATACTTGTTTCACATGACTAGTGTGGACTTTCCATTGCTTTCGTGTAGTTAAGAAAAACCAGTGAAAAAAACTCATTTTTCTCAAACTGTGAAAACTCTTTCAACCCAATTTTTTTTCTATGATTCCCTTTAGTGTTTCTCTTCATTCTGCTACAAATAAACCTAACCCAAAAATGCCTCTAAACCTGTTTTCCAGAAATGGGAAACACTGTGTGGACGTGGGCAAGTCCACACAACGTCGGTGCTACCTACATTATGTGGACGTCTTTTGTTCGGAAGTCCACACTGCGTATGTAAGACAAGCTCACCCACACACACATAGCCATATACTGACTCTCTACAGACCACTGGAGTGAACAGTGCCCTTTTATTATCTCTAACAGTCCTCTATATTTTGTTGTACGTAGCATTAGAATATTAGCCTGTGGACAGTATAAAGTAGACTTAGGTAGTTCTTTCGGACATGATATTATTCTTATTAGATATAGCTACATTCAAATATGCTGGTATGGTCATATCATACATTGAACGTCGGGCGTGTCCACCGTGGTGTTGGCAGTAGTAAACCGCCAACCAAAAGGTGTACACCCCATGTACTAAGAAGATACCTGCCTGCACCTGCGCCGAATATTCACTTGTAGGAGGGGTAAGCAATTAAATAATATCCTTAGCGTCCTCAACGCAAGTTGCCAATGTACATGTGAGATACATGCCCATACCGTAGTGACATGTCTACAAGGCACATGTACAACCAGTGATCTGGTCCCCAATTTGGTTACTCAGATCACACGTAAATCAGACATTCCATGATGTAGGCCATCAGCCTGGGTGTTTGGTCAGTATCAAATTAGGGCACGAATGATTATATTGTGCATGCGGAAGGTATACCGCCCCTAGAGTGGTAACAAGCATTTTGATGGATATTTTCCAATTCTGGAGGTGTATACCCTGCCAAAAATCGCTATGACAATTATTCCCTCATTTAATACCGGCGGCCAAAATTTTGGACCGAGGCTGATGGCCTAATGACTACTGCAGCAACAGGGGAACATTATCAAAAACAACATCATGAATCAAAATATTTTGCTTTGTTAATCAACCGGTGTCCTCATGGAAGTCGATCAGCGTTGATTCTAGTACATAGATTCAAACAATGCATTGTTGTCTTCCTCGGCGGCCTTGCATTATGTGGTGCACCCTGCACCTGCGGATTCCCTGTCTTCAGTTGCCGCGTCTTCCGTGTTGCACCCTGCACCGGCGGATTCCTGGCTTCTTCGGCGGCCTTGCCTTATGTGGTGCACCCTGCATCTCCGGATTCCCTGTCTCCGGTGGCCTTGTCTTCTGTGTTGCACCCTGCACCGGCAGATTTCCTGTCTCCTTCGGCGACCTTGCCTTATGTGGTGCACCCTGCACCTTCGGATTCCCTGTCTTCGGTGGCCGTGTGTTCTGTGTTGCACCCTGCACCGACGGATTCCTGGCTTCTTCGACGGCTTTGTCTTCTGTGTTGCACCCTGCACCTATGGATTCTCTGTCGTTGTTGGCCTTTTCTTCTGTGCATGTGGTGCGCCCTGCACTGGCGGATTCCCTGTCTTCGGTGGCCGTGTCTTCTGTGGTACACCCTGAACTGGCGGATTCCCTGTCCTCGGCGGTCTTGCCTTCTGTGGTGCACCCTGCACTGGCGAAATCCCTGTCTTCGGCGGCCTTATCTTCTGTGTTGCACCCTGCACCGGCGGATTCCCTGTCTTCTTCGGCGGCCTTGTCTTCTGTGGTGTACCCTGCACCAGCGGATTCCCTGTCTTCAGTGGCCGTGTCTTCTGTGTTGCACCCTGCACCGGTGGATCCCCTGTCGTCTTCGGTGCCCTCGTCTTCTGTGGTGCACCCTGCATCGGTGGATTCCAAGCCTGTGATGCTCTATGCACCATCGGGTATTCTGTCTTCTGTGGTACTCTCTGTACACCCGGACCTGTCTTCCATGATGCGTCCTGCACCGCGGGATCCGCAGTCTGTTGGCCTGCTGTTCCTGTCCATGTCGACTGCACTAGTGGTATGAAAGTCTGTGAAGTTGCTTGCTCCAGTGGGGCTGCTTTCGCCGGGGGATAGTGTCGCCGGCTCGGCATGCCGTCAACTGAAGCATGCTAATTGGACAATAAATTCCGACGACCAGTGTCTTGTCAGTGTCTTGCAGTCGATTGTCCAATGTCCGGGCAGTACGGCGGTCGATGGGCTCAGCGTTCTTCGGCTGACCAGAATGTACCTGCGGAGCCGTCCACAACGGTGGAGCAGCGGCGCATCGATGGCGACGTCCGCAACGATTATAGCTATCGATGTAGAAATCATCAAAATTCATGTTTCCTATTTGAAATGGTACTTGCGGGCACAGTTTGTTTTTATACCGCCCTCAAAAAAAAACCAATCCCAAAATTTCGTTCAGATTCCCGAACAACGTCATTTCTGAATATTGCAAATCTCGATTCATTTCATGAGGCTACGCGCACGCACGCCCTTTAATAAGTAATTTTGTAATAAGACGCATACGCTTCAACTTATCTGATATATGTATATTAAAATTCTGCGTCACTGCTATGGAAAGGGGGGGAGTCTGTTTAAAACAAATTTAATTTATGGCCATTTTTCTTTTCGACAAACTCTCCCCCCCCCCCCAAAAAAAAAAAAATGTGGGAGCAGAAACAGAAAGATGTTACCCTGAGACTGTCATCTGGAGGTACGGTCGAACTCTTTTTATACCAATCAATTTTTATTTAGCTATAAATACGTAACATTTGATTTTAAACCTTGATCATTTCAAAGTGGACAAAGTGTAATGAAAAGGGTTTGGCATCCTGATGGAATACCAAAAATCTAGAATATGCATGTAATATGAAACTTGAAAGAAGTATTATCTGGCAAGCACTCATTGCGTGCGAAAAGGTTTCTGAATGTGTCGATATAGGGGGCTGTTTCTTGTGTTTTTCTCATGCAGACATTTTTAACCCAGATTTTCTCATTCCCAAACAAACTGTGGATTGGGAAGCACTTTTTTTAGACAAAGGACATCATTATCTTACATGTTTGGAAATTTTTATAAGATTCAGCGGACCAGATCGCGTATCTCGAAAACTTAAGCGTTTGGTCTCTCGTCCCACAGACTACATGGTGAGCATTGGTGGTTCAGTGGTAGAATTCTCGCCTGCCACGCGGGAGACCCGGGTTCGATTCCCGGCCGATGCAATTTCTCCTTCCTTTTTTAAATATATTTTTAAGTGCCATTCTTATTTTTTTTCTTTTGTTGAATAATTTCGAATTGAAGAAAAATAGGCAAAAATTAAAAACACAAGTTAATTGTTTACAAAACAGTGCTTTGAATGTTCAAATACTCTAATTTAGAGTATCAGTCACAATTACGACTAATAAACTGTACTGGCATTTTCGAGACATGGTGGACACAGGAGGGCGCTATTCGGTGTGGGTATGCTGTAAATTCGGGCGCGAACTCTACGGGCTACTCTAAATGTAACTTGCTCATGGTATTTACCCAACTGCAATTAGCGCCCCTCTATTTATCCGCCATGACTGGCATTGCGTTTCAGTGAAATATACAACTGAATTTCAAAGGAACTACTTTATAAATATTGTCTTTTCATTGATGCTTGAAGTTGACATATTGGGCGAGAACACTAGTCAGAAAGAAGGCAGTGAACGGTTGTGTCTCTCTTTGCGTATTTTCCCGGAGTATATGCATTTTAAATGACAGCGGCGCAATAATGATCCAAATTATAACGGAGAAACACTTTAATAGAAAGGCCTCGCTACTCAATATCCTTTGAGCATGGTTTCTGTCATCAACGCCTCCATGTGTGCACGCGCGCGGCATGTAATAATATTATTGTACTGATGAAGATTGTGATGATAATTGTTGTGCCCATTATCCTGTTTGGAAACCATTTCCGGTGACCTATTCGACTGAGACAAATTTTCATCACTATTATGAGCAAAGCGTACAAGTCGAAGACTGTGGTGTTTTAGAATAGGTCATCGAATATGGTTTGAAATGTGGTTCACTCATGCAAGCTGTGTGTTTTCCCACAGAAAAAGAAAGAAGGGTCGACTGCAAACAGTCAACTTAAAAGTGTGCCTCGTCAACCTTGTCTTCCAGGCGTAAAACGTGAAATTTGCATATGTGTTTAATATAACATTTTAATGAAACAAAGGAGAAATTTGTGTTATGTATAAATGTTGAAACAGACACACAAAATTACGACTTGTACCCAATCTGATCAGTATACAGAATTCA